CAAGACTGTGTCCATACACAAGACTGTCTGTGTCCATGTACAAGACTATCTGTGTCCAAGTACAAGACTAACCGTGTCCATATATAAGACAATTTGTATCCGTGTACAAGACTAACTGTGTCCATATATAAGACAATCTGTGTCCATTCAAAATATTACTAGAGGACCCATGCTGCTCCGTAGCGTTAAAATAAATATAATTATCCGAGAAATAATCAAATTTATGATTTATTATTGAGTAATCCATTATCTTGAGCTTAACATCTATGGCTTAACTGATTCAAACGATCAATAGCTCAAGTTAAAGCCGATAATTTACTGATTATTTTGAGTCCAAAACATATAAAAACACAAACTATTCTGGAGAGAATGATGTTTAATCATAGAAAACCATTATAAAAATTAATATTTATGTTGGTTGTTCAACTTGTGTTTGCTTGAAACTCGTCCGATTTGAATAACTAATAGTATAAATGAAAGCCGGTATTTCACTGAAGGTTCATATACCAAAATATATAGGATTATAAAATTATAACTGGTGAAATACATCTTAAATTAAAGTAAACATTCAAAAATTAATCAAATTATGTTTTTTGGTTGAGTAATACAGTAGGTATGCCGAAGCTTGATGTGAAATCTTTGCGTGCATACCTTCAATTCGATACCTCAATCATGAAAATCGATCGGGTAGAAGAGCCAAATGAACTCGGAAAAGAAAAACCAAATTGAACTCCCATAAGAAATACATGGGGAACAAATTTCATTTACGGATATACTGAGTGGGGTTATAGATACATTTATGCCGATGTTTGATGGCAAATCTGTACGTGCATACCTTCAATTCGAGACCTCAATCGTGAAAATCGGTCAGGTAGAAGAGCCAATCAAACTCGGCAAAGAAAACCCAAATTTAACTCCCGTAAGAAATACATGGGGAGCAAATTTCGTTTACGTATATACCAAGTGGGATTATAGATACATTTATGCCGATGCATGATGGCAAATCTGTACGTGCATGCATACCTTCAATTCGAGACCTCAATCTTGAAAATCGGTCGGGTAGAAGAGCCAAACAAATTCGGAAAAGAAAAACCAAATTTTTTTAATATATAAGATTATTTTTTGGATTTTTATTATTTTATAAAACCCTTAGGCCTACTTGTAGCATATCACAGTAAAGCTAATTTCATATAGAGTAAGAAAATTCAATCGGAGAGGGGCAATCGGGTATAGGAAACACAGAGTATTAAAAACATATTGATTTTTCTCCAATAAAACTGCTGCCATTTTGAAAAGGAAAAAGATCATTGATTTCTCTTGTCTCCAAAATGTTTGTCTATCCTCTTAATCCTAAAAATTTAGTACTATCCTTAACTTCAATGGTTTTATTATTAAATTTAATAATCGGTCGACGTTGATTTCTGGTAGTTCGAGTTTGAAAATTTATGATACTTGTTTTATCCACATTGAGATTTAGATTTTGGGAGTTAAAAAAAATCATTTAAAACGCATATGTCTGATTTTGCCTTGCTTTCTAATTCTTCATTTGTTGAGGCTATGATTTTCAAATTGGTATCATCAGCATACAAGCAGAGTTTACTTAAATTGCTAAGTTGCGGAAAATCTCTTAAATAAATAATGAATAAAAGAGGCCCCAGAATGGATCCCTGTGGAACCCCATATTTTAAGTCAGTGGTATAAGATTGATATGGAATTTTATAGTTTTTACGGTTATGATAGAGAATTTCAACAAACTGTTTTCTGTGAAAGAGATAAGATTTAAGCTAGGGATGGACGGGTCCCGAAATTTCGGGAATTTTTCGGGAAAAAAATATTCCCGATTATCGGGACGGGATTACATTTGACTCGGGAATTTTTCGGGACGGGATTTGGTCCGATCGTCGGCGATTTTTCCGCTTCGCGAGTGCCGATAACGCCGTTATTGCGAGCGATAGGTCCGCGAACGCAGGAGACGAAGTCATACCGACGATCGCGCCGTGACCGCGGAGTCCTACCGACGATCGCGCCGTGACCGCGAGTCATACTGACGATCGCGCCGTGACCGCGAGTCATGACGACGATCGCGCCGTGACCGCGGAGTCATGCTGACGTTCGAGCCGTGATCGCGAGTCATACTGACGATCGCGCCGTGACCGCGAGTCATACCGACGATAACCCCGTGACCGCGGAGTCATACCGACGATCGCGCCGTGACCGCAAGTCAAACCGACGATCGCGCTGTGACCGCGAGTCATACCGACGATCGCGCCATGACCGCGAGTCATGACGACGATCGCGCCGTAACCGCGGAGTCATACCGACGATAACCCCGTGACCGCGGAGTCATACCGACAATCGCGCCGTGACCGCGGAGTCCTACCGACGATCGCGCCGTGACCACGAGTCATGACGACGATCTCGCCGTGACCGTGAGTCATACAGACGATCACCCCGTGACCCGCGAGTCACAAGTTACTATAGGTACCTGTAAATTGTTACCCATTTTTTGGTTTTTATAGATCAGTGCCACAAATGGTAAAAATTGATTTTGTATGTCTTTTTTTGGTAACTGCAATACAGTACTTTCTTTTTATGCACAGAAAAAAATCCCGTCCCGTCCCGTCCCGAAAATCGGGAAGGAAATAAAAATCCCGTCCCGAACTAAAAATTCAATCCCGTCCATTCCTAATTTAAGCAAATTTAAAGCAGTCCCCTCTATACCCAAGGTACTAAGCCTTGAAATTAATATATCATGGGATATTGAATCAAATGCTTTTGCAGGTCTAAGAACAAACCCGCTACCTTAGATTTACCATCCAAACTATCAATGACCGATTCTATAAAATCAGTGGCAGCAGTTATAACTGACTTACCTCTGCGAAACCCATGTTGAAAGTTGTCAAACAGATTGTTATTTTCAAAAAAATGTTACCAATTGATTATAAATTACTTTTTCATAAATCTTAGATATAGAGGGTAACAAAGCTATAGTTCGGTAATTTGACTCCGTTTGCCTGTCCCCCTTTTTAAAAAGTGCTTTTAATTTTGTAATTTTTAGCTTATCAGGAAATATACCGGATATCAAATAAGAATTAACTAGGTGGGTGATTGGTTTTAGTAAAAATGTCTTGACTTTTTTCAGAAGAACCACAGGAACCTCATCATAGGCCATACTAAAAGAGTTCTTTAGACTATTAATAATTATATCTATTTCATTCTCATTAACAAAGCTGAATCGAAACCTTTTACTAAACTGAAATATTTCATTGTCTACCTGATTCTCAGACATTGGTTCAAAGTTAGACATTATACTAGTTACATTTGAAAAATATTCAATAAAACTGTTACAGTTGCGTTCTAGTGTTAAACATGTTCGACACCGAAAAGTTTATTTGCGAGTTAGAGGCTCGGCCTGCACTTAAATGATTAAGATTACATCATGGTTTACTCTGAAAAGCGAAGAAATGCACTTAGTCTGTGGCGTTTGTATACAAATGTTCAAGTAATATCAACGGTGTTTGCATGCTAATAGCAAAATGTAAATTTTAAAATAATTTTATAATTTTAAAATATTTAAACAAAGTTTGTACATAAAATAATACATAATGTATTCTGAAAGCCATTGAAATGCATTGAAACGTGGGACATTTTTACTAAGCGATTGACACCGGCAATGCAATTGGGACAACAAATTTCAAGGGTACAATATGTGTTTCAAAGTAAAAAATTCAGGTCTTTAATCTAAGAGGATCGTCGAACTAACCACATAATTCAACACCGAACTTATGTTTGAAATTAACACATTATTGTTTTAAAATGGTTTGGAACTAACGAATCGAATCATTACATTGTAAATTCAAACCAATCTATATATTAATAGGCAAGCATGTTTCTTTAAAACATTTTTTCTCAGCTTGTGTGCATCGCAGAGAAAATCTATGCATACCGTTAGAAAGATATTTTCCTGTAGATGTGCAGAATCCCTTTAAAAATTGAAATAGGCTCAAATATAAGGACAAAAAATTAATTTTAAATTTGAAAAAATTAACCTGAGCTTTATGGGTTGCCATGCTGGTGACGAAATAACAATGAAATATAAACAGAAAAAAAATGGAAGAAATTCCAATCACATGTTTCATTTACAGCGTAGGAAGAAAATAGAGGAGCCTGTACTTTACATTCCATCCCCATGTTAAAGTTGTCACCAGTTATAATACCCCCACCGCAGCAAACCTGCAGACTAAGCGAATTTCAACTTGTCTGATTACATTTTTGTATCATTTTTGTCTGCTACGGGGAAGGTAAAACGTGTTTTTTGACCATAGGTCAATAGTATAGGATGAAATAAATACAATTGCCAAATTGTATCAACATATATCCATAAACAAGTAAACTGCAACAAATTTCATTTTCTCCATAAGAATAACATGGGAATCAAACCTTCCAACCTAGCTCCACCGTGTCCATCCCGCGTCTGAACCTCTTCGTGTAGAATGGCCCGACGGGTTTCACGCGACGGGGATCCCGCCACGTGTAGTTTGCAAAAAATATCAGCGCGGTCACGCGACGGTCCTGTCGCGGTTTTCACGCTCGTGTAGAATCGGCCTTACTATGTTATTTTTATGAACACACTTAATATTAGAATTGCCAAATTGATATAAAACATGTTTTTGAAACTGATTTTGTTGGTGCTTTATCAACAATGGACATTTCAGGGTTAACAATTATTTCATACAGCAGATCTATAGAACATAATTATTCCCTTTAGTGTTTTCTTCCTGTTGCAAAGCATGGGAATGGTCGCTAGTATTAAAATAACCTAAGATAGCATTTACACCCTCTTCATTATATACTAAGTTTTGTTTCACTTAGGAACAAAACGAGAACCATCACAGCATTTTATTTTTAAGTATAAACTTGGTATAATTTTTTATAACAATAAATAACATATAATAACAATATAATAAACACATTGTACAACGAAAATCATTACTAGTTACCTCTGTGACCGGTTCTTTGGGAATGATGATTGTGCTGCTAACTGTTGATTCGACAGCCAAATACGGCCAATCATGGACAGTCTTCTGCCAGTCGGAAGGTAGTAGCTCGTTGTATCTTGTTACATACTCGTCTTCCACAGACCTGGCAAACATTCCGGTGGAGGTTCCTGCAACAATCTACATCAAACCATTCAATTAGAGTTGAAAACAACTGTTAAAGTAGAGAGGTACACACCTTGCACACACAAGTATGTTTGTAGAGACTCTCACAATCACAACAAACAGTTAATATGCAAACTTGGCTGTATAAATGACATATTATGTTTTAGCTAGCTAGCTTACCATTGTAAATTAATGTCCAGGGGCAATAAAAGATCACATAACTAACACAGACTAAATGTAACAAAGAGATCTATTCTCTGAATAAATGCTAAACTAGTACGAAATATAAGTCTCATGTTTATGTTAACATTTATTTTGTATTTGCAAGCCTATGAACTGTATTTTCTCAAATAACGTAGCTTCTAAACTTGATCCATTCAAATACAAATTTCTTTAATTCTAGGATTAGTTTTTGTTTTAAGGGGAAAAACAGCTTGGCTTTAGAATTGTTGTTAAAAGAGAAAGGAAGGAAACACAACTAACTCACCTGAATAAAGAGTACCAGGAGGTCAATAGAACACTTAAAAGTTACACATTAAACTTATGTTTCGCCCCTTTGGCTTCTTCAGAGGTAGAAGGTGGAATGCTATTTTACCAATGCTTTTATGCTATTTTACCAATGCTTTTATGTATTCTACCTTCCAGCTATGAAAAAGACCGGCGAAATATCAGTTTAATGTGTAACTTCGTGTTTTATATTAACCTCTTGGGACTCTTTATTCAGGGTGAGTTTGTTGGTAGCCTTCCTTTCTTCTTATCAATAATTCTAGGATTAGTAATTGATCAAATAAAATATAGCAACAACACTGCTAGTAAAGGCTACTGTAGTATGTCATTCTCCTATAAACAATATTAATATAAACTTACTAAATATTACCAAACTCAGCATGATTAATGTTGTTAATGTGCATTTTAAATAGCAAATATTTAACCAAGATAAAACATTTAATAAATTACAAAAAATATTTTTTTTACTCTTTTTAAGTTTATAAAGTATATATTTGTTTATTGACTGTTCAAATACATTGCCAATAAAACACTGAAGTCAGTTACTGGAAACCCCAAATTGATTAAAAAGGGACTACTTGAGAGTAGAATACAGTTTGGACTATTTAATATACAAGGATCAAGCTTTTGAGACATTCACCATACAATATTTGCAGTAATAGAGCCCAAGAGTTTAAGAAAGTCCGAGAACATGCCAAGGCTACAACCAAATCTAAAATCTAAACATCTAAAAGGTTTACATATACATAGAAAATAGATTATAGATTGCATATTGTATGACCAAACAAAATTACATAAGTAAAGGTTTGTATGTTATTTAATGATACCTTTAAAGGTATCTAACACATTTCAATGAAGTTATGGGACAGCTGACAACAATACCATTGGCAAATTAGGTTTAGGATATATCCAAGCAGGGCCGGTTCTAGACATTTTTCTATTGTAAGCAAACAAATTCCGTAAGACGTATGTGGTAGTCAGTGGCGGATTTTGGTAAAATTGGAGGGCCCCTAGCCAAAGTGGCAGCATTTTGTACTACTGTAAAAAAAATTTTGGAACAAAAATTGAACGTTTAATTTCTAAAATTGATTATATACCACACATGCAGGCAACGACCAATATGTCCCGTGATTGTGGGAGAGGTTGGCAATTTTGTAGCAACCACGGGTGGCAATGATGACGTCCCTGTTACTGCAGGAGATTTTGCGAATACATGACGATCGCAGGTGGCATTGCTGATGTTTCGTTTTAATGTCTCGAACGGGAGATGTTCACGATTTTGTGGCGATCACGGGGCCTCTCAAGTTAGTTTGGCCTTGGGCCACGTAGGCCTACCCTAAATGCAAAACTGATGTAAGTAAGGATTATCTCTGGATACATAAAAAAATAAGAGTAAATAAAAATACTTAAGGATGTCCGAAACGTGCGAACGTCTGCCGGACGAATCCAAGGAGTGACGGAGGGGTGCTGAGTCCATTTGTTAATATTAGTTGTGGTAGTTATTTGAGAAGAACAATAAATCAAGTAGTGGGAGTATACGTTAGAATTTCTCAACTTACAAAATACTGAACATTGGAGTGTGCTTTGGCATTCAAGGCGACTGTCTACTTTCCTTACCCCTTAAACCGACCCTGTATCCAAAGTGAAAGGAAATAAAGCGAGAATAGTATTCTGGTCAAAAACATGCAAGTTTGTTCCAGTGAAGAAATCTGAATCTCCTGGTGGAAGGACAGTAATGTTTGTATGTGAAGAAATTCTTTCTTAGTTTGTCTGAAGAAGTCTTATATTTTTCACTAACTTCAATAATTATATATAAATATATATGGATTTGTATAAAATAGTTTTATTTTCAAATCATATCTGTATGTTTTTTTATTATTTTCACTGAGACAAAACATTTAGCTTTTTTATTTTTAATTGTCATGAGCAAAGCCAACAGATTCTTCTAGTTACATACAATAAGTTAGTTAGTCAAAAACCTTCTTTGTAAAATGCAATTTAATGTTATGATGTAGATGTGAAGTTAAATAATATGAAAGATGTGAAATATTATCGTCATCCGTGATTGCAGCCAAATCCTGGACATCACCACAGTACCCTGCGATTATGGAAACATTATCCATGTCATCTTCGATCGTGTCATAACAGTTAATTTATCAATCGCACAAAGTTCACAGATTCTTTTTATAATTATTAATTGTGATCATAAAGGCTCGGCTCAACCTTAATATTCTGATTTAGTGGCCAATCGCTCGAGGAGCTTGTAGGCAAATTATTTTTATAGCATTGAATTATCCCTGGAAGTTTGCTACAGAAAACCCAATCCCCAGTATTTTCATGAATATCTTAAGTTCTTAACAGCAGGTGTGAAATCAGAAATTGCATCAAATGACAAGGAACGTTATCACCTCATTATAGACAAGAAAAATTAAATAAAATCCACATACACTTCATCCTCAAATTTTACCAACATAATAAGTTGGTTTTAGTATTCTGTATTTGAAATCTTTAATTAAGTGACATATATCAGTAAAGTGATGAACCTTAATTTCTTTGTCAGTTGTTAATCAAGTCATGAGTGGGAATGGTTCTGAATGTAATTTTTGCTACTTAGCAGATATTTTAAAAACAAAAATATCACAGCATAGCTCAGTATCAGTTTTCATTGAAAATACGAGTGGCCTACCCAATGTTCAATCAAAATACCCCTCTCATACTTTGTCCAACAATTTATTAGGAATTTCATGGAATTACTTGACACATTCGAGCCTTGGCATTTATAAGCTACACAATTTATAATTTTTCTATGTCATACTTGACAAAAAAAATTAGGTAAAGGGTACTAGTCGCTTTACCGGTGCTTTAAAATGAGCAGGAATAATTTGAGTAGTTTGAATTTGAATAGTTTAGGAATCATTTTTTAATGGCATGATGTGCTCCATTTGAAGCAAACAGCTTTAGTCTTACAAACTACAAAGGATCGTTTTGACAATAACAAGGTAATTTAAACCACTATATAGTTCATTCAGACGATCCAGAGGCCATTCCATCATGATAATTTGAATGTAAAACCCAACAACACATCCACTATTGAATATAGAGGCAAACTCGATTGTGTTGCTTGTTTAATGAACTAGTGCACTTGTTGCTAGAATTCAAGCAATTTCAAAGTAGCCTATTACAGGCGTTATTTCATAACGAATAACAGTTATAATTTCCGATGACTTAAAAGAGTCAACTCAAAGATGATATAAACAATCACACTCCAGTTATCGAGACTGAAAACGAACTCACTCTGAAAACAAACGCTCTTGTGTGTATATGATGTGTTTAAAAGAAATACATTGGGATTTTGATGGCCTGTGGGGCGAAACCGGAAGACTTTTTTTACTGGAATTGGTACAAAAAATACTTAATTTTGACCTGTCGTTTGTAAAAAGCTGTCCATTATTAGCGGAGGAGTAGTGTTTTGTAGAAATCGCCTTCACGTATACTGTATAAGGATTTGTTGTCAAGTCTTGCTAGGAAACTCTGTATTTATGAACCGGACTTAAAACATATATTAAAATAAAAATACAAATTCCGGCTTTGCTCTGGAAGTAATAAGTCCTGCAGTCTATGGTTAACATTTAAAACTAATAAAACTACATCCATATGTTTAGTTGTAAACAAAGGGAATTGATTTTGATCGAAAGTCAACAGATAGCACCGCTGTTCCCAAACTTTAGCCCTAAAATGTACTTAAGTGATGCCCTTTCTTAATATTCTGATACGTATTTGCTCATCTACGTGAAAATGCCTATAATTTGACACCTCAAACGTTAAAATCTGTCAAGCCGTTATTGAGTTATGACTGTGAAAAGAAAGCTGCTTGCGTATTAATCTCTTTGGTTTATGTTTTTTTGCAATCATATGGATGGCAGAATCAAAACTAATAACTGTATCAAAATGTAAATACAGACAATCTAAATACCGGTACGTTAAAATCATGGTTTATTAAAAAAAAATGTTCGCTAGGAATTTATCATCAAGACTTTTTGTTGTTTGCTGTTGATAGGTGCTTGTAAGTATGTGTTTCTTGTTAACATTAGCCTATATGAGGTGTGGCTATGAAAAAAGAGACTGGTTAAAGACAAAACTGTTTGAACCTGAAAGCCAACCGCCATTTTGTCGAGTCGCCTGACATTTCCCTTCCACATTGGGGCCCGTTTGACGAAGCTAGATAGCTTGGCTACCTCACAAAGGAATCTAGGCAAAAGGTTGACGGTACAGAAGCCATCTATCAGAGCTATGTAGAAAATAAATAACGATAATTCAACAAAAGAACACTTTAAACATTTAACAACCCTATTTTTTATGGCTTATATGTTCTTGACAGTATGATTGCCAAAAACAAATATTTCAATCCTTCAATTTTGTAACAACACACGCAACAAAATAACTGTTAAATTGGGAATCATAAGTTAGAGCTCTTAGAAAAAAAAGTCAATGCGGAACATGAATGTTTAACTTTATTCCTTTAAAAACTAAAATGAAACAAAAATTCTACATTTCTAAAAAAGTCTTGCGGCATAAATAATAAAATGTCCTTATATCCTTTAAATGAATTTAAAAAATGGTAATAGCTTAGTTTACACATTAGCTTTAGTTAGTTTTCTAAGTTTGGATGTTAGTTTTAGTTAATTTAACACTATTCATGTACAACTATGTAGATTTATGAATAAAGATTCTTGATTAGAGTATGACAATTCTAAATCACACCATTTTCACAACCATTATTATAATACCATTTTCCGACGAGAGGAAATGCATAAATTTGACACAAACGAAGAATGTGGCTGAACTAACAACCTGGTGTCGAAGAACCCGCTGAAACGTGTCGGAGGGGATGTCAGGCGAATTCCAAATATGATATTTGACCTTGAAGTTCACACAGTTTTTCTCTTAGGAAACCAGTCTTGTTATTTTATTGCCGTATATAAATGTCTTAAAGGTGTAATACAATGCCTGTATATCACAGACTACTGGTAAAATCATTGAACAGATCCAATAGGTCATGCATAAAAAACAAAACTAATAGTTAGTAATAAGATATTAGAGTGAGCGGATTAAAAAAAAAAACAACCCCTACATAATACTCACATCCCTAATCCTATTACAGATTATGCTCTTGTCTTTATTGACTACTCTATCGGATTTCACCTTCGTTTCTTCAGTGAGGATTTTTTCAATAGCTTTTAATGCTGCAAAGCCTTTCACAATTAGTTGATCCCGATGCTCGAAAGGTAACGTGCTAACTACGAAGGTGTTATCACCACCTCCATTGACCTGGAACAATAAAACATTTGATCTATAACAAATAATTGCAACAATTCAAAAAGAAAGACACTGAACCAGAAGATCACTGATCAGGAGGCTAGTGTGTCTGTCTTCACATCTCAGTTTCCGTACATGGAAACAATGGAGTAACATGAATCATTATCAGGTGACATCTTCTAAGTTAATACTACAGAACAATCATTTAGTTAGACCGGTTGCGACCGCAGCTGATCAGACAAAGCAAAAAACTTGTTTAGCCAAGAGAAAAACACAAAACAACTAAAATTAAAATACCCCTGCTGCAGCAAAAAAGATTGTTTTAAATATTGTTTTGGAAGTCTGATTTAATTTTGATTGGGAGGTTATTATAAAATGTTGATCCCGCATACATGGGTTTTTTCTCAAAAAGTTTCAGACGGCTATGGTGGCCAATCTCAAGGTTTTCCCGATTTCTGGTGAAATAATTATGATAAATATATTATTGTTGTGAGTGAGCCGGTGGCTCAGTCGGTAGCGTCGCGGACTTCGGGCGATATCGAGGATTTGGATTCCGGTCACTGCCAAAAACATTTTGTCAGTACAGATCACATTTTGTACTTCACCAGCTCACTCCTTGCTTTGCTGTATACGATCCACAAATGGGGGGTCTATGTGGACGGACAAATGCAAGGTTAAAAGAAGCCGCCAACCTCTTAAAAAAAAAAATTGAAGTGTAGCAGCACAGCAGTTGAACAGTAGCAGCAGTGTCAATCTACGCATAGCTGGAACAAAGCCGAAATCGGTCTCAAAACTTAAGGCCATGGCTTCAATTACGTCGTAGTCGAATATTAATTGTAGTTGAGAGTCGAAAATCCAAACGTCAAAAATCTGAAACGTGAAAAATCCAAACCGCTCCTTAGGGTTTTAAAATATTGAAATAGCACAGAGACAACAGATGTTTTACAATTTCAAGGGCCAAACAGTCGGCACCTGGCAGGGAAATGAGTGAACGCGCTGAGCCAGTCCGTGTTTTTTTCGTTTTCAATGTATAAACTCTACATATTTTTTTCAAGAAACAAATACAGTATAATGTTACAAAAATACCTAAGTACAAACATCATTGTTTTTATTTCATTCAAGATTTTTTCTTCACTGTGCCTATTATTTGCATGTTCAGGAAATGTGCAGAATGTCTAATTTATTACTTTGCCAGTACCATGCCTTAATAACATATAATATGGTAAGCATAGCTGTAAGTGTTGATATAATTACTTTAACAGAAGCAAAGAAGAGGCCGGATCTGCCTTCTTCGAGGATGGTGTACTTGGGCTCAGGCCAGCCTCGCAAATAACAGTAGTTTTCCAACTGAAGTATGTTGTTGGGTAAGTTACTAGTGTCAGGTCTGAGAAGATCCTTTCCTCTTGCCTATAAAACAATCAAAACTAATTACTTACTCACTAATCACTAAAACTCAAAAACTACAAACCGACTACTTAGATATTAAGGAAGGTTTCCGTCTAATGGCTGCAAGTACTTATTGTTTGCACACTTTTAAATACAGACGTGTTCACCTACTCAGTGACTGTCCGTTATAAGAAGTAACAAGAGGTGTCAACTGCTTACTATGCATGCTGTCTTTCACAATTGTTGCTTTAATGGAATTTAAAAACTATTTTCAATTTTATTTTGGTTTTTTTATTTTCGAGTAAAAAATTCACATATTACCAGTAAAGTGTCTGAGCATTTAAGTTTAATTTGTTTATAAGTTAGGTAACTGATCGGATCAGTCATACCTCCACTAGATTGTCCACTGGGTTACCCAGAGGGTTTTCAAGAGACGATGCTGAATCTTGGTGTGTTAAACGAGCGAAGCCTGCTGCAAGACCATTCTGAAACAAACGTCATAGAGTTAGTATTACTTTCTAGTTGATTTTAGTTAACACTTAACAGGTATACAATTAGCAATATGATACTTTAACTTCTTTTAATTCACTAGCGACCAACAAGCTTTAAGTGAGTTTAACTTAGGGTACAAACACACAGGACACGGCATGGCGCGTCGATAACAAATACGTACTTTGTAATCTGAAGAAACACACAGGACACGGGACAGCGCCTCTTCATTTAAAGTTTAAACCGGTTGAGTTTGATTTTTTAAAGCAGCAACAAGCGTTTTTTGTGTGTCCCAGTGATGGGCAGAAGATAAGGGTTATTTCTTCTCTTACAGATTATTTTGTTTGTAAAGAAGTTTATTATTATTCTGTAAAGATGTTTCTTATTATTTTGTGAGAGAATAAGCGTTTTATTTTGTTTCTTGTCTTTAATTGTTCCTAAGGCCATAAACACAAATTGTTTAGTTAGAAATAGGATTATGATTATTAAAATTATTCTGGTATTATTGGTACATAAATATAACAATGTAAGTGTAGTTGAATAGTCTGAATGACAATAGTGTCAGGATTAGAGAGATATATATATATACTTTTGTGCCCACCCGGTTTGGCAGTCAGTGCGCTGGTAATTTACACGGTGTGGCAGTCACCCGCCCGAAAGCCAGTCAGCTCTCCCATAAGCCAGTCAGGTATGGCTTCCCGTGCACTTTATACGTATGAAAACAGCAAACCGGTGCTGCTGCCTGTGTCGATAAGCGTAACTGCAATACCAATGCGGAGACTGTCTCATCGTGTGTTCTATCGTTGAGTAGTGTAGCCAGTACGGCACCCTACCCTACTTTGTAGCGGTAAAACCCAGCGGTCTGTAACCTTCGTTTACTCCTTGTTACTATTTGTGTTGGGATCGTGATTAACTACGTGTTAATGTTTAAACATGTTCATACTCCAAATAAATATGATGCACCTCTAATAAGGATCGTTGAATATTAATTAATTATAATTGGTTGAATCTTGATCCTACCCGTTCATCATCTCATATTTTAAGTTATTTTGATTTTTTTTACCTTCAGTTGAAATTTTAGTCAACTTCTCCTTTATACAATATTTTTATCCTAGTATTTACAGTGTTTCCACGGACCGGGAACTATACGGATTTTCTTTATCTCGAGAAATATACGTGAATATTGTCCGAGATACTGGAACTGTTTTTTACGCAATTGCGTAACGCGAAGGAGTAACTATTACATATGACAACGATATTATTCTATCTGATAAGAATAACTATGAAACTACACTCGAAAGATAAAATATTTGTATAATAATTTCAATTTTACAAACAAACTATTACAGGAATTATATTTTGGGACGGATGAATGATAAGGAAGCAACAAAAAGTGGTCACGAGTGCAAATACGGGGGGGGGGAGGGGGGTACAATATAACGAACGCCAGAAACGATTATTTGTTTACTTTTCAGATTCCTTATCAAATCTCTCTCTCTCTCTCTCTCTCTCTCTCTCTCTCTCTCTCTCTCTCTCTCTCGCTCTCTAACAATGTACAGATTGTGGACTTTACGATTTAAGTTTTCCTGCAATTATTTCAGTTCAATCCCATACCTATCCTTATGGTTTCCTATCTATTATTTTTCAAAATAAATAGTAAAGCAGGTTAAACTATTTTTTATTTTATTTTCTTGAAACCAAACACTCTTTACCATCCGGTATTCTGCAGAGTACCCCATACTTTTATCCCCATCCTTGTTGGTGAGTACCAAAAAGGAACCTTAGGTATAAACATGGTTGTATATCCAAGTTTGGTTGTCCTTGATATTGCACTATTTCATTGACACTGACAAATTAGGGCTAGGCTGCACTATAAGTTAATTGGGAGTTTATTTGATATCTAGTCCTAAGCTTATAGCCATCTTAAGGCAAACATAACCAAAACCTAACCACAGACATATAAATATAAGTGATATAAATATAAACACTCATCCTCTGTAGGCCTAAAGCTAACTATCTATATTTTTTTGGGTTAGGATTAGTACTTTTTGAGAGAGTGTCATTATGTACTGAGCACACTTAGATGATATAGGGTATCAGTGATTTATGAAATTATTTATTGATAAAAAGCAACCTAACGGAGTTACCTTAATGATGCACCCAGTATTTAATACAAAAATTAAAGCTTATGCCTATGTATATTAGTTTTAAAACAGAGTAGAATAAGGCACCTATAATCTAGATTAGGCATTGATTAGTGTTTATAAACTAAACATGGATGAACCACTACGCAAGCTACTAATCCAGTTGTTCAGGCTAGGCTAAACTGAACTCTGAAAGCATCCATCTCAAAACGGCCACAACTTAAGAACAGATCCTAGAATTTGATTTATTTTAAACTTTATTTTTCTGAAATAGATAGCTAAACTGTCCAGTGCAATCATCCCACACTGCAAATAGCAACACTCAAACTTAGTTAGGTAAGCTAGTGGTAGGTTACAACTAATTATTATCCCTGTGACCGATTCAGTGTAACATCTGACATCAGTCAGAATCAGACGACATTATTGACAACGACACTCGTCGTGTCGTTTCTTTAATTTACGGTATAATATAGTATAAAACATCTACCATATCCATAATAATGTTCTACCACTGCACCTAAACAGCAGAAAAAAGCAAATCACCAAATTCAAATCACCAAGATTCGCACAATATGACAAATTATTTATAAATTAAAAACAGTATATCTTCTGTGCCAGTAGTTAATGCGTGATTGAACTTCAAACAAACAAACAAACACACAAACTTTCACATTTATAATATTAGTAAGATAAGATGTATTAATTAAATATTAATTACTAGCTGTGTGCCCGTTCTACGCACGGGGATCCTCTAGTGGTCAGTGGAAACCTTCCTAAATAAAGAAAAACTATTGGTTTGCATATTTTCAGATATGCTAGCCAAACTATTATATACAAACAAATACAGTATCTGACAGTTTCAAGTAAAAAAAATGCGTAATAGATCTATGAGGGGTACACTTCCATATCTGTTGGCACAAACAACTAAATTAGTAATATTGATTATTCGATTGTTTAATTCCATATATCGTTTGGTTAGTTAGGTTAGGTTAACCTTACCTAACTAACCAAACGATATATAGTTAAAATACTATACCTCAACCTCGCCATTAAACATTCAGGTTGGAAATTTCACTATCAAAGGTGCTCTTGGCCTGTCCGTACGGAACACTGAGTTATATGCGCTACCAACTTATGAATAATTGTTTAAGCCTACGAACCCAAGAGATGGATAATTGGTCTGTTGGACGTATGGTCCAGCGAGCAGCACATAGCGTTGAGAAGACACATTAGAAATACGATTTGAGCATAATCCGTAAACCTCTGTTACAATCACCCACTGCAGTTGTCTCTAAACACTTTACACAACCACCATTGAAGTGCCGTCAACGAGTTGAAACCTTATATGTAAGCTATTGGTAACGCTTATGTAAAAAATGTAAGTTTCCCAGGCATATAGAACACTGAGTCAAAGTCTTTTCCCCGGTTATAAACCCAAAACTCGATAGAAATTCTATACACAAAGAAGCTCTATTTTCATTTACGGTTACCCTACACATTATTGCACTTGCGATTAATTAAATCCGTTATGTAAGGAAAAACGGTTTTAATCCAACTTGGTTTGGATTTGCTTTTGAAACTTGATCTGAAATGATTGCGGTATTTGTAAACAATATTCAATGTAAACATATCAGTGACAGCTAGAGAAAAATAATCTTGATCCGAACAGCTGTTCGCTATTTCATATGATGATTATGTGATAAACATTGTGAGAAAACTTGACAAAAATCGCACAAAATTGGGTTTTAAACGTCCGTAAGTTTTTTTTTACAAAGTAGCGAGGCCATATTTTAATAGCTAAAGACACTTTCGCCAATCCAGTGAATACATTCAAATGATTCGAGGATCTTGATAGGTACTCTCGTTTTCAGGAGAAGGCCGCGTAAAATGGCCTTTGGACCGTGACAGACGGAAGATAGACAACAACGGAATTGAGATAATAATTGATGATTGAGATAATAACGGAATTGAGATGAAACTTTTTTCGGATTCTTGAATGTTTAAAACGTAAAAATAATCTAAAAGTTGATGATTCTGAGCAATGTACAGACAAAACTCTAATTTTATTTATATAGATTAGTACCTGTGGTGATTTTTATTAGAAATTTATTGAAGTAAATAAACAGCAAAGTTAAAAACCATATGACCAGTGTTTTTATTTAAAAAGTACGTAGGCCTATTTGATTGGCTTTGTTTTCTGAACTAAAATATCTATTTCCTGATCTATTTTTAGTTCCTGTTTTCGAAACATAATTTGGCAAAACAATTATTTATTCATTAAACAACTTGATCGAAAAATAATTTCTAAACATTGGAGGACAATTAAAAAACTTTTGAATACTAATAAACCTAGCTGCCGTACCTGTGTTTTACATCGGAGAGGATTTTGAAGAGAAAAAGTTTGATACACGTCACATATTTCAAATCCCACTCCAAACACGTCATGTTAATACGTTTACTTCCTTAAATTAAGAATGTCAGAATCTCCAATTAACAGGCCCGTAGCAAAAGTTAAAAGTTTCACAAATCGAATCGTTTCTACCTTTTGGACCGCAAAATCAAAGAACTTTATTGACAGCATTTAAAGCTGACTTCGTTAAACATTCTGTTATCTACATTCTTCAAAAATGTAAACATTGTGAAACTTTGGAATCCCATGGGGCGTAACTCAAAGAAAACACGTTAAATGTAATCGGTATATTTGTTAACCAGGTACAGGGCTACCTCTTGAATTGATATAGATAATAAATCGAAAAATAAAGAAATATAAGTTGATTGATTATTGGCTCTTACAAAAGGGTAAACAATCAAGGAACATGATTTAATTAAGTAACCACACATCACTGAGTCTA